TTCATATGGACATGTAAAGTACCTAGAATAACCAACATAACTTAGAAAAATTAAGACAAAAATTGGAAGACTAACACAGTATCTGATTTCAAGACATATTATAAAGCCACAGTAATCAAGACAGTGTAGTACTGGCCTCTAAATACACAGATCAATGCAACTAAATAGAGAGTCCAGAATTAGACCTACACTTATGTGGACAGTTTATTTTTGACAAAAGTGAAAAAACAATTAGGTGGAAAAAGGATAGTGTTTTTAGCAAATACTGCTGGATCAATTAGACCTCCATATGGAAAAAGAACTCCTTCCATACGTGGCACCATATACAAAAATTAGCCACAAGTGGATCATAGACCTAAATGTAAAACTTAAAACTATACAACTTCTAGAATAAAACATAAGAGAAAGTTTTTTTCCATTAGGCAAAGATTTCTTAGATACAATATCAAAAACACAATCTATAAAAGAACGAATTGATAATTTAAACCTTTTCAAAATTAAAAACATCACTTCAAAACACACAGATTGGGAGAAAATACTTGCAAATCATACATTTGATAAAAGTATTTGTATCGAGAATACTTAAAAAAAATCTAAAAACTCAGTAATAAGAAAATAAATAGCCAATAAAAAATGGGCAAAAGACAAAGGACTAAAGCACCGCATGAAACACAGCCTCCACCAGCCTGAGCCCAGAAGAACTACATGGTGCCCAGCTACCAACATTGACTGCCCTGACAGGGATCACAACAGAGGGTCCTGGACAGAGCTGGAGAAAAATGTAAAACAAAATTCTAACACACAAAAAAAAGACCAGACTTACTGGTCTGACAGAGACTGGAGAAACCCTGAAAGTATGGCCCCAGACACCCTTCTAGCTCAGTAATTAAGTCACTCCCGATATTCACCGTTCAGCCAAAGGTTAGACAGCCTTATTAGACAAAATGAGACTAGCGGGGCACAACAGTCCAGGGACAAGAACTAGACGGCAGGAGGGGTCAGGAAAGCTAGTAATAGGGAACCCAAGGTGGACAAGGGACAGTGTTGACATATCGTGGGGTTGTTAACCATTGTCATAAAACAATATGTGTACCAACTGTTTAATGAGAAACTATTTGTTCTGTAAACTTTCATCTAAAGTACAATTAAAAAAAAAAAGAAAGAAATACCATATGACCCAGCCATCCCACTCCTAGGTATATACCCTAAAGAAATAAGAGCCGTGACTTGAATAAATATATGCACACCCTTTTTCACTGCAGCATTATTCACGATAGCAAAAAGATGGAAACAACCTAAGTAGCCATCAACAGATGAACTGGTATGTACAAACAGTGGAATACTACAAAATGAGAAAAGAATAATGATGAATACAAGAAACATCTCCCAAAATGGATGAATCTGGAGGACATTATGCTGAATGAAATAAGTCAGTCACAGAAGGACAAATATTGTATGAGATCACTACTATAAAGAAAAAAGAAAAGGTTTACACATGGAAAAAACAACTTTCTTTGATGGTTACCAGGGATGGGAGGGAGAGGGAGGGAAAATTATCAAATTTTGTTAATATTAGTGAAGGGAGAGGCAATACACAATATGGGAGAAGTCAGCAAAATATGACCAAGATAAGGGAGGACACTGAGAGAAACGCAAGAACAAAGGGCAACAATGGAAATTACTATAGTATAGACAATCCTGCAACAATAGTATTAGCAAACATTAATTTATGAATGGACACATAGGTAGACAGATACGCCAAGAGGTGTGGGAAGGTATAAGGGAACACATCCACCTGCAGATACAGGTTTGGTGGTGAATATTTCTACATACATACTTGTAGGTGCTGCTTATATATTTAATACAGACAATAGAGCACACGAGGGCAACAGTCAGGGCAGCTTCTTAGATATAACCAGATAGCGCACCGGACTAAGTTCCTAGGCTCGAAGGCGGAAGGACCACAGACTCGGGGGACATCTACATCAACTGGCACAACATAGTCCATAAAGACAAAGTTCTGCTTCCTACTTTGGTGAGTAGCATCTGGAGTCTCAAAAGCCTGCAAGTGGCCATCTAAACTACAACTATTAGTATCTTACCGTCTGGAGCAAAGGAGAATGAAGAAAACCGAAGACTCAAAGGAGCATTAGTCCAAAGGACTAAAGGACCACGTGAACCACAGCCTACACGACCCCGAGACCAGAACTAGATGGTGCCCGGCTACCACTACTGACCACTCTGATTGAGATCACAACAGAGGGTCCTGGACAGAGGGGCAGAAAAATTGCAGAACAAAAAATTAAATTCACAAAAAAGACCAGACTTACTGGTCTGACAGAGACTGGAGGAACCCCCAAGACTATGGCCCTAAGATACCCTTCTGAACTGGAAATGAAGCCATTCCCAGAGACCACACTTTAGTCAAACCACAGACAGGCTCATAAAATAAACAATAACACTGAGAGGAACATGTTCCTTGGAACAATCAATTATACAAGATCAAAAGGGCAAAATCTTCCCAAAAACAAAGAGGGGAAGGCAGAAAGGGGTAGCAATTCAGGACGAAAGGAAATGAGGATCCTAGGATGGAAATGGGGGGAGTGCTGGCACATTGTGGGGAATGAAACCAATATTATGGAACACTTTATGTACAAACTATTGAATGGGAAACTAATCTGCTCTGTAAACTTTCACTTAACGCACAATTTGAAAAAAAAAAAAAAAGACCATAAAAAGTGTTGTGGAGGATGTGGTGGAAATGGAACTCCCATACACTGTTGCTGGAAAAGTAAAATAGTACAACCAGTTTGGAGAACAGTTTGGCAGTTTCTTAAAAATGTAAACGTACACGTACCATAAGATCCAGTCATTCCACTCCTAGGTATTTACACAAAGAAACTGAAAGCATATATCCACACAAAGACTTGTATGTGAATGTTCATTGCAAGTTTTTGGTAAAAACCCTAACCTGAAAACAATTCAAATGTTCATCAACCGGCAAATACATAAATAAACTCTCATTGTCAGTGGGAATACAAAATAGTACAGACACTTTGGAAAACATTTTGGCAGCTTCTTACAAAGTTAAACATACATTTACCGTATGATTCAGCAAACACATATCCATGTATTTGCCCAAGAAAAATAAAAACTTACGTTTCATACAAAAACCTGCACTTGAATATTTATAACAGTTTTATTTATGAGTGCCCCAAACTGGCAACAACATAAATGTATTTCAACAGGTGAATGGATAATGGACTATGGCATATCCATACAAAGGAATACTACGCAGCAATAACAAAATACAAACTGCAGATATGCATAACATGGATGAAACCCAGATGCATTGTGTTTAGTGAAAGAAATCAGATACAAAAGGCTACATATCAACTCTATCATTCAGTTTATATGATATCCTGGAAAAGACAGAATTATAGGTGTTAAAAACAGATTATATAACTGTGTTGTACTTGCCACTATTTTGTAGTTATCAATTTACTTGGAAGAGAAGGGGATGGGAGAGGACTGGGGCCAGCTCTCCCCACAGCAGCATATTCCAGTGAGTTATTCCAAGGAGTCCAAGAATTCTGAATGCAACCCTGGCCTTCTAGATCATTATGAAGGTATATTTGTCAAGGTAGGAGAACAGAACATATTTTATTTAACAATTTGTTAGCTTTATTTATAACTTTTAATATTTAAACATGAGATATGTGGGTCTCCAGCTATAATCTTACCACCAGGCTGCAAATGTTAGGGACAGGTTTGACCAAGGGAATAAAGATTACAAAAATGGGTGACCTTACTTTGTGGTCCTAGAGGGTATATTTTCTAAAATTACTGGTAAGGGATGGGCAGGTCTCCACATCTTCAAGCCCCAGAGAAAAACGTTCAGTGATATAACTTCATTGCCATTTCTGTTTTGACCGTTTGTTCATGTTGACCCTTTCTGGATTTCCCTGGGTAACAATCTTCTTTCAGTCTTCAACAACTCTGTCATGGATTGAATTGTGTCCCCCCAAAATATCTGTCTACCTGGCTAGGTCCTGATTTCCAGTATTGTATGACTGTCCACCATTTTGCCATCTGATGTGATTTCCCTATGTGTTGTAAATCACTATGATGTTAATGAGATGGATTAGCAGCAGTTATATTGATGAGATCTACAAGATTAGATAGTGTCTTAAGCCAATCTCTTTTGAGATATAAAAGAGAGCAGCAAGCAGAGAGACAGGGGGACCTCGTACTACCAAGAAACAGTGCCTGGAGCAGAGCGCGTCGTTTGGACTCAAGTTTACTGTGCAGAGAAGCTCCTAGTACAGGGGAAGATTGATGACAAGGACCTTCCTCCAGAGCCAACAGACAGAGAAAGTCTTCCCCTGGAGCTGACACCCTGAATTTGGACTTGTAGCCTACTAGACTGTGAGAAAATAAATTTCTCTTTGTTAAAGCCATCCACTTGTGGTATTTCTGTTACAGCAGCACTAGATGACTAAAGCAAGCCCTAACAGAAAATTCTCTCACTTTACTCAGCTCTCATGCTAGGAATACACTCCATGAAACAGCTTGTCCCTGCTCTAACCATTTCTTTCACCAAACCTGGAGCTGCTGTTAGCTCAAGGGAAACAGAGGGACGGCTAAGGGAAACAGAGGAACAGCTAAGGGAAATGGACCCGCAGGCACCAAGCAAAGACTCAAGGAAGTTCTCGAGCTGGGGAGACCCATTCGGCATTCCGTCTGGGGTTCCTGAGTACCTTTTCGCGCAGACGTGAGCGATCCCAGATTTTCGCTCACCTGGCTCAGCGGCTTGGCGTCCCCCTAGTAACGGCCACTTCCGGCTCCGACCGGAAGCCTGCGAAGTCACTCGGCCGAAGGTGCGTCCGCCTTCATCGGGACGGGGAGACTTGGTCTCTCAGGCCCTGCTGGGACCGACCCTTCCCAGGGGACGGGAACGGCGCCTCTGTGCGGCGGGCCCACGACTCGTCCGGGTGCGACTCTTGGCCTGGGGCTGGGAGCCATGGACGCTTTCACTCGCTTCACCAACCAGATCCAAGGCCGGGACCGACTCTTCAGGTGAGTCAGGTGCCAACAGCCTCCATCCGACCCCGTACACGGGTCTGTTTTCCGGCGTCCGGAGAAAGCGGTAATAGCCTCGTGGACTGAAGCAGGAAGGACGCTGCTAGCTCCCACGGACGGAGTTTGCTTCTCGTGCCACTCCTCAACCTAAATTCAAGGGGGCTGGGCCATCCGCACCCGCTTCCATCCTGAGCCTCAAGTGCGAATAAAGCCCCGGTGCCTGGCACCCCAGCTGCCTCGAGGCGGCTCACAGTTAACACCAGCCGACTTTGTTCTCCCCATTCAACGTTTTCCTGAGGACTTTTTTTTTCAAGAAACTTTCGCTTAACATTTGTGGCTAGGGAAGCAAACCTCCTGGTTGTGACTTCAAATACCCCTTGAAATACAATACTATGGGGAGGTATTTTATTTATATTCTTTATCTTCCATTATTTTCCAGTCTACCTCATCACCATACTGCATGTGAAATAGTTTTGTAAACTGTAAAACATAATACAATATTGAGAGTTTCAGAAAGAACTCCTTTAAGGTATGTGCTGTGCTAGTGAAAATATTAAATAAGATTGTGGTTTTAATGCTGATTAGTTCATGATGTTTCTTTTAGAAATTTTTTTTTTTTTTTTTTATTGCTGCCTCATTTTCTTATTGTGCTGTAGGTGAAAGTTTACAGGGCAGATTAGTTTTTCATTAAACAGTTAATACACAAACTGTTTTATGACATTGATTGCCAACCCTGCGATGTGTCAGCACCTCCCCTTCCCCTCCCTAGGTTCCCTGTTTCCATTCGTTCAGTCTTCCTGTCCCTTCCTGCCTTCTCATGTTTGCTTTTGGGCTGGTGTGCCTGTTAATCTCGTATACAGATTCAAGTATGAAGCACGTGTGTTATTGTTTGCCCTGTAGACCTGTCTAATCATTGGCTGAAGGGTGAACCTCGGAAGTGACTTCAGTACTGAGTTAAAAGGATGTCCAGGGGCCATACTCTGGGGGTTTCCCCAGTCTCCATCAGACCAACAAATCTGTTTTTTTTTTTTGTTGTTGTTTTTTTGTGAATTTGAATTTTGTTCTGCATTTCTCTCCTGCTCTGTCCGGGACCCTCCATTGTGATCCCTGTCAGGTGCTGGTAGTCAGGCACCATCTAGTTGTGCTGGACTCAGTCTGGTGGAGGCTGTGGTAGTTGTGGTCCATTAGTCTTTGGTTTTCTTCATTCTCCTTTGCTCCAGTTGGGATGGGAACAGTAGAAGAAATTTGGTTGATTCTTGCTCAATAATAAAACATAGTTTCAGTTACAGTTTTATTTAACATCTCTTCCTCCTTTCTGGTTAAAAATAGGCCCAATAATAAGTTGGAAACCGACTACATGCCAGGTATTGCTGTCAGTGTTTTATAACTCTTAACTCATTTAACCCTCATCACAGCCCTATGAGGTAGACACTCTTAAATTATCCCTATTTCATAGATGGGGAAACTGAAGCAGAAGGAAGTTAATAGGTACTAAGTGGCAGAGCTGAGAGATTCAGATCCACACATTCCAGCTCCAGTGCCCACTTCTTAATTAACTACCAAGCCATACTACCTTCTAATAAATTTGATAGGTGTTCCCAATGGTTGCATTATGTACAAGCTTCTGTAAAATAGAAGCCTATAATCCCAGTGTACCCAGAATATCCCCTGCAAGGTTTATCAAGGAGTTTGGTTAATAAAATAATTGTTTAGGATGTACTTACTAGTAAGATCGGAGATCTCTAGTGATCTCTATACTCTATATGAACAAAGTGGCATTTATAAAATAATGCCTTGTTTTTGGACCCACTCCTATTATTAGACCAAATCTGAGAAGGGGAGATTTATTGACCTAGCTAGCTTGAGCTGCTAACCAGGAAGCACACTCAAAAAGAGAGAGAGAAAGATTGTTTCTGATCCCTGTCTTCCACTTTTGCTTTATGTCCAGTAACAAGTTACCCATTTTGGAAAATGTGCCACATTTTTCTTGAGGATAATACTGGTATTTATAGCATAAAGAGATTCAAATGCAGGGCAGTAGGAAACAGGCAACTTCTTTATTAAATAGACTACCAAATGCATTTGGATGTTTGACTATGTGGTAAAAAATTTCTCATTTATTACATCTCCATCAGTAAAGCACTTATTTGTAGGCATGACAATAATCACCTTATTGAATATATATTAAAAAAAAAAAAAAAAGTTGCCATTGAGTCCTTTCCGACTCATAGCAGCCCTATAGGACAGGGTAGAATTGCCCAACAGGGTTTCCAAGGCTGTAAATCTTTATGGAAGCAGACTGCCACATCTTTCTCCCACGGAGCGGCTGGTGGGTTTGAACTGCCAGCCTTTTGGTTAGCAGCCAAGCACTTTAACCACTATGCCACCAGGGCTCCACTATTGAATATATAGTACTTATTAAATAGGAGCTCATCTGTATTTTATATAAAATACTAATTAGTTTTGGAAGATACAAGAACATATCTGTGTTTATGTACAAGTGTGTATTAAATTAAACAATTTTCAGACTGGCTCTTTCATTTGGTTCTGGTTCAAGTTTGTGTCTGGTCACCTAGGTAGTAGGTTAACTACGTGGTAAAAAAATTCATTTTAGAAGTCTGAAAATCATTCTGTACTGAGTAAAATAAAGAGTATGGATTTTTGCAGACTTAACATGAGGGAGATTTTTGTATAATTTCCCACTATGACTACATTCATTTCTCTGTGCCAGCAAAAGGCCTTTGGGGGGGCTGTGAACTATGTTATTACAGAGTTCTCATTCATTACCTTTGTGTTGCATTTCCATCACATGTTCTACCCTTTGGTCTTGTGAAATGACTGTTGCAGAATTTTGCTCTTGTAAGAGCTGCTGCATGAGAAACTGTCTTGGAAGCTTTGCCTTTAGTAAGACATGTTTCTCTTTCCCTTACTTCATGAATCGAGTTTTATTTGGTTTGTAAGTTATTCTCTTTTTTTTTTTTTTCCCATTTCAGAACCACTCAGTATACATGCATGTTGCTTAGATATTTGTTAGAGCCTAGAGCTGGCAAAGAGAAGGTGGTAATGAAGCTCAAGAAACTGGAGTCCAGTGTGAGCACTGGCCGTACATGTAAGTACCCTGTCTCTTGAGGGACAGTGGCTTGTGGTTTAGAATCCTCAGCCTCAGACCCTATAATTCACAAAACACTTCCTAGGTCATTAACTTCTTGTCAGTCAAGTTTATTGATGAAGTCAGTCAGTAAGGCTGCCCTCATGGAATTACAGACCAAAAAAAGGTTGAATGTTTTCCTGCAGACCATTCACAAATACCCTTCTACGTTCATATTTGGTGCTACACCATATCTTTCTGCTTAATCATAAGCAGTGGGACATAACAATGTGTTAGTTCACCTTTAGTTTTTAGAATCACAAATATTTTGACAAGCCTAGACATGAGCTTCTGGCTCCTGGGAGCTCTTGGTGCTCTATAGAAGAACAGAATAGCTAGATCCTAAGCCACCTGCCTTTTCCCCTTCTTCTCATGTGGGACTGCTAGAGGAAATGGATAGATGAATAGATTTTCTTAGACCATTTGTGTGATGGTTTCATGTTAAAAACAAAAAGTGAAGTCATTATTTTGTACTCATTTAATTCACTTTCATAATAAATCATACTGGGATATGCCATATTTTTAATAAGAATTGCTATTATGCCTGACTCTTGGTTGTTTGATGAGAACCAGATGTTGCTACAGTAGGCAAGCAAAGGAATTAAAATGGAATACAAATGCAGATCATCAGATACTGATCAATCAATTATTTCTGAGCGCCTGCTTCATATAGGTATAGTCCTGAACTTTATGAGAAGAATAAAATGATGTGGTATAAATAATGATATGAGATTTAGTGTCAGATCTAATTGGCTGGAGTAAAGGAAAATAACGGTTAAATAACGGTGTTTTGGAGGAGGTAGAATTGAGGTGTGGCTAGAGAGAAGGAAGAAGAGCAGTCTTACAGGGTGGTTTCCTCTAGTAAAGGCTCAGAGGAGTTAAGAGCAAACCATTGTTTTGGAGCATCAGTGAGGAAACTAGCTTGACAGGGATAGGAAGGGTGGGGTAAGCGTTGCTGAATGACATTGAAAGCCACAATTAGAAGTTTTTTATGAGATTCTTTAGTATGTTGGCACTCGAAGGTCCTTTAGAGGTCACTAGTCTCTGAAGCCTCCCACCTACTGCCATCAAGTTCATTCTGACTCATAGCAACCCTATAGGACAGAGTAGAACTGCCCCATAGTGTTTCTAAGGCTGTAAATCTTTACAGAAGCAGACTGCCACATCTTTCTGCCATGGAGCAGCTGGTGGGTTTGAACCACCAACCTTTTGGTTACCAGCCAAGTGCTTGAACCACTGCGCCACCAGGGCTCCTCTCTAAAGCCCAGAAGGGGCTTACCAAGGTCTCTCAGTCAGTTAGTGGAAGAGCCATCATGGGAACCCAGGAGTATTCACTGAGTATACTGTTTTGTGTTATTTTTATAAAATAATATCAGACATCCTTCTGAGATTGTAAGTTTCCTGAGGGTAGCTGCTTCTGAACACTTACTGAGTCTCAGGTATAGTCCTTTAAGGTGAAGTACTTCTTTTGTATCCTCCATAATGTTTAGGACTATAACTCATTCTCTGTTGGTACTTGATAAATTATTGATTGATGCATCCCTGATTAATTGAATTACATGCTCACCTAAGGACATGCCATTGCAATGGTTGATTTAATTCAACTAGGAGTCATGTATAACAATATTATTAATTGCGTTTTCTGCTAAATCCTACTATCTCTACTTTGCTTGGGGTTTGGTCCAGAGAAATGGCAAAATGAAAATGGTGTTTTTTAACACCATTATCTGGAAATTAAATGAAATGTAAAAGAGTGTTGCATCTGGAGTTCATGTTATCATAGCACCTTCCTTCTAGAGAATTCTAGCTGGTAATATATAAATGTAAGAATCCACATTCATGATTGGCCTTGCCTAGAGTTGATGTTAAGTTCACTGGAATGAAGAGATAAATTTTAAGAATCACTGTCTTTTTTGCTTTCCAGGATCATTTTAGGTGTCCTTAACATACTGTAGAGTCCTTCTCCTTTCCTGAGCAAAGCTGGGCCTCAAATGACAGTTGTTAAAAAGCCAGTGTTGGCCCTCATCCTGATAACAGGGATTCTGCCTTCCCATTTCATTCTGATTAAGTAATTGTTAACCATTGTGGGTTCTTCTTGCAGGGTTCAGACTAGGAAATGTGGTACATGCTGTACAGGCGACTCAGCAGAGCATTCACGCCACTGACCTGGTGCCCCGCTTATGCCTAACATTAGCCAACTTAAACCGAGTGGTTTATTTCATCTGTGACACCATCCTCTGGGTGAAAAGTGTAGGGCTTGCCTCTGGCATCAACAAAGAGAAATGGCAAATGTGGGCTGCCCGTCACTACTATTATTTTCTCCTGCTGAGCCTGGTCAGGGATCTGTATGAAATCTCCTTGCAAATGGAACAGGTTGCACACGACAGGGCAAAGAAGGAGAAATCACCATCCCAGAATCCTCCTGGGCACAGTGTGGCGGATGAGGAAACAGAATGGCTCCAGTCCTTTCTCCTTCTCTTATTCCGATCCCTGAAGAAGCATCCTCCCTTGCTCCTGGACATAGTGAAGAACCTTGGTGATATTATGAACCCTTTGAACCAGCTGGGGATCTATAAATCCAATCCTGGCATCATTGGACTTGGAGGTCTTATGTCCTCTATAGCAGGCATCATCACTGTGGCATATCCTCAGATGAGGCTGAAGACCCACTAAGGCAGGATTAGCACCTGCTTAAAAAAGTGACCTCTTAGTGGAATGGCCATTTGTATTAATCACAGACCATGTCATACTGAGCTTAAGGACTTGTTCACATGAGCATTTAGTGACCTGTGATGTGAGCAGAAGTGGGACCAGGAATGGAGAAGAAGAGGATCATGAAAATTTATGTATAGTTTTTAGAGAGCTGATGTGACTTCTGAATATTTTCTCTTCATCTAACATTTATTGAGTATCTCATATGTATTGTAGGAGCTTAGTGTTTGTTGAATGAGTAAAAATTGAAAGAGAGCCAACCCGACAAATAAGTAAACACTAATATATAGTAACTTGGGTTGTGTGGATCATTGGTTTTGCACAACTACCGTAGGTGTGGTACTCAGTGCTCTCTTAGATCTAGTAGAGGCCCCCGTTTTTCTCTGATCAGTTCCTCCCCCTCCTCCACACATGCCAGTGGCAGGATGGAGGGGAGCTTATTAGCCCTTACCATCACTGCGCTCTGATCCTTTTTCTGTCCAGAAGCAGAATCAGAAAAGCACTGGGAACCTTCATGGTATATAAATTGAATCTATGGGAAGAGTTCTTTAGGTAGTGAGTAAGTAAGCAAAAATCAGAAGCAGACAGAAGGGACTTAAGGTGAAAATAATGTGACGGTCACAAAGGATAACTGTATGTAGCCTGTGACGGAGGAGGAAACTGAGGTGGAAAAAGCTGAAGTGATGTACATTCAAGGCTCCCAGTCCAATGTTCTTTCTGTGATATCTCACTGTCTTCCTGATTTAGTAGAAGTGTGAGAATCTGTAGGATCCTGTGCTTTTTGCCTCACTCTCCCAAAATTTGGAACCTCTGTTGGTCAGTGATTATATTCTATAAAAATTTAAAACCATATCTAAACTTATGAGCTAAATTGTTTTAATCAAAACCCTGTAATAGTTTGGACACTTCTACATTAATTTTCATCAAAATTTACACAGTTAAAAAATTTTATAATTCCTCCATGAATTTAGGAGCATCACAATTTTTTATGATAAATCAGACTTTCAAATGGTTGGGGGAGGTGGAAAAGAACACTAAGGAACCAGTGAAGAGGACATAGAGTATTGAAATGATGCCATTTACTCATGTTCCTACTTCCAGTCTCGGGTGTTGGGTTCTTATTTGTGATTATAGATCCCTTAGATTGAGGGAGGTGAGGTGAGAAATAGGATGTTTTTAGGTAGAAGGCCAGTGTCAGCCCTCCCAGTTAAAGCCATCTCATTTATCTGAATGGACGTGAGAAAATGTGAACTAAATAAAAACTAGACTCAGGTCCTTGGCTCTATTTTTTTTTTTCTTTTCTTTTTTAATATTTTATTGTACTTCAGGTGAAGGCTTACAGAACAAATAGTTTCTCATGAAACAGTAGTACACATGTTGTTTTATGACATTGGTTAACAACCCCACAACATTTTAACCCTCTAAATTCTCAACCTTTTTTTTTTTTTTTTTTTTGGTGAAAATACACATAGGCAAAGATACACCGTTTCAAAAATTTCTACATGTACAGTTCAGTGACATTGACTACGCTCTTCCAATTGTGCTGTTATTCTCACTTAAAATGAAGGCTTACAGAACAAAATAGTTTCTCATTTAACAGTTACTACAAATGTTTTGGCTCTGTTTTTAAAGGTATCAATCAAGACATGGGATTTGGGAAAGAACATTTTAGGAATTTTAAGAGAAATGAAAGGTGCTATATCAGAGCAAATAAAAAATTTAACCATTTTTACCTTGTCTAGATCCTCTACTGTAATACAGATTAATTATGTCTAATAAATTTCTAGACAAATTGGACTCCTTGCATCTGTGAATGTGTTCTGGGAATGGAGAAGAGTTAAAAGTAAGGCAATTCAGTAGATAATCAGAGTCTCAACAGTTGGAAGACTTTGCTCTGGTAAAATGAGCTCTGATGAAGAAACATTTAGATGTAGCGCCTCTGAGATGATCTCATCCAGACTGCTGCCCTGGAGAGGGACCTGTACAGCAGCCCTGTCAGTGGTTATATGGCTTCTGCCTGGGGAAGTCTGCCTTGAATTTGTGGTAGCATGTTAAGGTGAACTCCCTCTTGATACTTTTGTCCTTTGCAAGGTAGGGTGGTGGTGGGTAGTTTGGGAAATGCCATCTCTTCTAGCATTTGTGTAACCTTAATGGTGCCCTGGTACCTCCCTTCCTGTGCATCTTTTTCCTTTCTGACCAACCCTCCCCAGCCCTGGGCTTCCACCATTCATGAGGGATTCTAAAAAAACAAAGTTCTACAGACCAGCACACTCACAAGTGAACATTGTTGCCTGAGAATTCATTTATTCAACAACAAATATTTGAGTGCCATGCTTGGTTCTGGGGATCCACTTGTGAACAAGATGGCCAAAGTCGCTGCTCTCGTGTGGGAGGGGTGGGGGTAGGAATGAGGAAAGAAGGAAGATAACTTGTCCTTAAAGCTGCTGTGTGGAAAACGGACTCTTCCCTCTCCCCTTGGGACTCTTTTAGGCCCTTTCACCACTTCTCACCTCTCACCCACATTCTGGACTCCCAGCTGAAGGGGCCAGAGGACTAGCTTTGTCAGCAGAGCTTTCAGGCACAAAGCCCTATACTCCCTTTTGGCTCAAAGCCACTGCTCCAAAGGCTTAAAACTGCCCTTTGGCTCAGGTTTCTCTCCAGACACAGCCTCACAGATAATTTGTCCTGAGTCTTGAAGTGAGGGCAGAAATCACTTCTTTAGATATTTTCCTCCCTCTCCATCACTGTTTATAGTTTAAAAGCTCAGATTAGATAAATAAGTGTTAAATGTATTACATATTTATTACTTCTTTTGGAGACTCCCAGCTTGACTCCTCCCCCCTTTCTTGACCTCTCATTCCCTGCATTGTTATATCAGAGATACAAAATGTATCACCGAGGCTCTAGCATAAATGACTGTTTGTCCCCATCTCCTGCCACTTTCCCCTGTTATCCACAGCATACAACTTAATAGAGGGGTCAACAGTAGATATAGTTCTACCAACAAAAAGAAAAATAAGTTTCGTTCTCCTGCTCTTCATTTTAAGAGGCACAGCGTATCATCATCTTTGAGCCAGGAACTAAAACTTGGACTCTTGCCTGATTCCTTGCTAAGGAAGGGATGGGAGGTGATAGTTCTTTGTTGTTTGGGTGCCGTTGATCTGTAATAGAATCTTGGTCAACACTCACTACTCCAGACTTAGGAGAACAAAAATCCAGTTGACTCACCCTCTGCACATTCTGGTGGCATCTTAGGCCAGGTAAAGTTGAGTAAACTTTCTTGAACTCTAGGAATTTACCGAGGTCAAAATTGCTGCCTCAAAGACTGGATTGCCAAGGACTGAACCTCCAGCTCTGGTTCTCTTTTTTACTGAGGAATGTTATCTCCATAATTAAAGTATAGCATATTCAAGTGAATTCTGGGTTTAGATCTTACTGTTAAAAATTCACTGTTGTTAGTAAGTAATAAAGGATGAAAGAAATGGGTTGAAAACTGTCCCACAGGACCCTTTATGTAAAGGAACTAAAGATTACAAAATTACATAGAACTTTTGAATTTATGAGTTTAATAACATATACTCCAACACCTTTCTGGAAAACAGGTTTTTGAGAATTGGGGGCCAGAAATATGTCGCAGAAATGATAACTTCATGGCTCTGGAACAATAACTCCTCAGAGCCTGGAGCTCCTTCAGTTCTGGGATCCACCTCCAGGTCAGCTAAATCTCCTTGCAAAAGTTAGGATATGCCCAGGAGACCCTGGGTCAAATAACCATGGCAACCGCCTGACCCAGCTTTCTCTTCCTCTCTGCCTTCCTCTGTCAGGGACGTGTTAGTAGCATTGCCCAAGACTCCTTGGAGCAACTGGAATTGTTACTGCCTGAGGAGACGCTCTCCAGCCTGGGACTCTGTCGGGCTAAGGAGGCAGCCAGCTGTAGTGAGTGTGGGAGCAGCAGTTTTGGGGGCCCTGGGGCATCCTTACCTGGGTTGTTTCTGAGAGTTAAAGGAGTTGAGGGTAAGAATCTGGTAAAGGTCACCTGGGAAGTTTTATTTAGGGGTGGGGAAGTGTGCCGGGAACCACTGAGGGAGAGATTATTCAAGGTAAATGACTAGGGGTATAGAGTAAAATTCTGGGGCCACTAACTTTTGCAGGATGCAGGTGAAATAGCAGCTTTTAAGAGAGGAGCCCTGGTGGCACAATTGTTAAGTGCTTGGCTACTAACTGAAAGGTCAGCGGTTAGAATCCACCAGCTGTTCTGCAAGAGAAAAGACCTGGTAATCTGCTCCCATAAGGATTTACAGCCTAGGAAACCCTATGGGGCAGTTCTCCTCTGCCCTATAGGGTCACTATGAGTCGGAGTTGACAGCATGCAGCCACAACTTTATCACCTGATTGAGCTTAGAGGGAAGGGCTGGCAGATATGCTTGCTTGGAAATAGAGGAACTAATCCAGAACTTTTTCATTAAAAACAACAAAACTATTAAACCTGAAACTTATTTTACTCACTTTTGGACCCTCATTTAAGAGCTCTTAGACTTCATCTAGGAGCCCTGGTGGCACGGTGGTTAAAGCGCTCAGCTGCTAACCGAAAAGTCAGCAGTTCAAACCCACCAGCTGCTCTGAGGGGGAAAGATGTGGCAGTCTGCTTCCATAAAGATTTACAGCCCTGAAAACCCTATGGGGCAGTTCCACTCTGACCTATAGGGTCACAATGAGTTGGAATTGACTAGACAGCAGGGGGTTTGGTTTGGGTTTAGACTTCATCTAAAGTCTCTTATCTCTGATAGCTACCTTTATTCTTCACTTCTTATCCTGAACCCTTGCAAGAAACATCTGTCTTGACAAGTGGGCTGTGGAGCAACTCATCCCTATGGGCCTCTTGTCTGTGACATTTGCCCTCCAACCTATGTCTTCCATTCAGGGAAATTGAGATCCCAGGCAGCCTGGGCCCAGTTGGTGGCCATAAGAGGTAGGGAACTGCCCCTGTGGATCTCAAGCCTGTGGGCATTCTGATGGGCCTGGGACCCTCTGTCTTGCAGCTTGAAGAGCTGGTATGGCAGTCAACAAGAGTCCAACCATGCTGGATGAAGACCTCCCTGTAAGTACCTTGGGCTTATATGAGACGGGGGATGGACAACTGAGGGAGGAGAAGGAGCAGGCAGGGAGGGAAGATTATATTCCTTAGCTCATTGACTTTCATATCTTGTCTTAGTTATTTTTGCCCTCACTACCTTTTGCAAGGGGCTTTTGGCGGATCTGAAAAACAAATGATGCCTATTAAAAACTAAGCACCTTGGAGAAAAAGGACAAATCCTGGCTGTGGGAGAATGGAAAGGAAGGGAACTATTGTGTTCTAAAAACCCTGGCGGAAGCCAGGCTCTGTTCACCAACCCAGGCTGAATGTATATTCAGTTATAGTAATACAGTGCCTTATTATGACCTTACGGGGGCATCGTTCAAATCGTAGTCTATATAAATGTGCCTCCTGGAATTACATGAGGCATAGCCAGTGCTGCTATACTTGGGAATGGGTTGAAGGTTCAGTGTGTCCAGTATGATGTCTCTGACCTGGTTTTCACTATGGCTTGGACTGGGTTTTACACTTTTGCCTGTTGTCCAACCCCATTGCCGTTGAATTGATTCTGACTCATAGCGACCCTATAGAACAGAGTAGAACTGCCCCATAGGGTTTCCAAGGAGCGGCTGGTGGATTTGAACTGCCGACCTTTTTTGGTTAGCAGCCGTAGTTCTCAACCACTGAACCACCAGGGCTCCTTGACACTTTTAGGTGTGCCTAATGCCTCTTGAGGAGCCCTGGTGGTGCAGTGGTTAAAGCACTCGGCTGCTAACCAAAAGGGCAGTGGTTCAAACCCACCCGCTTGCTCATCAGGAGAAAGATGTGGCAATCTGCTTCCATAAAGATGTACAGCCTTGCAAACCCTGTGGGGCAGTTCTACTCTGTCCTATAGGGTCACTATGAGTTGGAATCAACTCGACAGCAGTGGGTTTTGGGTAATGCCTCATGGCAAGGCTTCTCTGATTCAGGCACAGTTCATGTAGTTCGTGAAACTTAAAAATTGTGAACTTATCCAATACCCCTATTGTTCCAAGTTAGGCCTCAACTAATCTTTACACTAGAAAATGCTGTGTTAGGCTTTGTATTGAATCATAGAACACAGAGAGCCATAAAAAGTTCAGATCCCACAGTTAAGCCATCCTGACAGATGGCTGGCTGGCTATTCCCTTTCTGGGACCTCTTTCCCCCTTTGGCTTTGCCTAAACAACTTCTTAAGGTTCTGTCCAAAATGTTAAAGCAAATGTTTTCTTGTTTACACTCATAATCTTCTAGTTCAGATTTTAAATTAGCCTGCAGCATAAAAAGTTAAAATATTGTGGCCTGCTTCGTCTAGTCTACATATGGGTCTCCTTGAAGGGTTTTCTAACTCAGTTTCCCAAAATCAGAACAGCCTAGGTCCTCACCTCCACAGCAGTGTCACATTCAGAGCTACAGAGAGGGCTCAAGCTTCTGTCAGACCTGAGGAGTTTTCTCTTTTCACTTTTTATGTAGAGAATTGTTAACATTCATAAGAGTAGACAGAATATAATAAATCCCCATGTACCCTTCACTAGCCCCAAACGACCATTAACCCATGGCCAATCCTGCCTCATCCTCACCCCATCTACTCCCTGCCTTGCATTATTTTGAAGCAAATCCCAGATATCATGCATTTCAAACCTGAGTTGGAAGCCTGGCTTACTAGCTGTATGATCTTGAGTAAGTCACTTATCATCTCTGAATCTGTCTTCTCTTCAGCAAAGTGGTAGTGATAATGCAGACCTTAGAAATTTGCTGTTAGAATTAAATGAAGTCATGTCCCCAAGGCACCCATATCAGTGTCTGGAGCACAATAACACCTGGTAAATGTCGTTTCCCTCCGCATGGCTAGAATCCACATTCTTTTACTCAAACACCAGTGTTTTGTTTTGTTTTTTTCCCGTAAGATTCCTAGGTGGCCTAAAGTTTAATTATGTGACTGCTGCCAAAATTAAAATGCATTAGTAAAAGTGCAACATGCTAATAATGAGCAGTGATAGTTCCACTATATCCACATGCTTAGACCACACCTGGAGCACTGTCTTCAAGTTTGAGTGCTAGGTTTTTAAGAAAGACAACACCAGACTGCAGTGTGTCCAGAAGAGGGTCACCAAACCAGGATGGTTTGTAAACTAAGTTAGGAACTGGAACTATTTAGCACAAAGAAGGGCCCTACAAAGGGAGACATATTTGCCTTCAAATATGTAAAGTGCCTATTCATGAATGATGAAATAGATTTGCTCAGGGTTGTTCCAAAGGTCAGACGGTGGAGTGGTGGGTAGAGGTGGATTTCAGCTCAGCAAAGCCGTCCAATGGGTACAGGCACTCTATGAGGGGGTAGCGCCCATCAAAGGAGGCATTCAAATAGAAGTCTGCCAGAGAAACCATGGGAAGGATTCTTGCTGCAGAGTCCTCTGAAGGCCTAAGGTTCTGTGATTCAGTACAGTTGGGCAGATCTAAACTTACATGTTTTACTACCCCTGACTGTGATTCATTTATTCAACTAACATTTCTGTGCCAGGCTTTATGCTAGGCACTGGGGATGCAGAGATTACAAGGATTCAGCATGTGCCTTAAGGACACCGGTCAACTGGGAGTCAGACAAGTACCCATATAATCCCAGCAGAGTGTGATGAATGTAGAGACAGCCCAGGAAAGGAAGCGTGGCTGTGAGGGAGAAGAGTCTGGGATCCTCCACAGAGGAAGTGGTGATCAAGCTGTGTCCTGAGGGAATGGCATTTCACCAGGCAGAAAGGACTATGGGAGGGAAGGTGAGCATTCTAGGCAGTGGGACCAGCATACATAGTCAGGGGGACTGTATCCCAGAAAGGCCAGAAAAATGTTCAGATGAATCACCAATGGTGGACTAAAACTCTGGACAGGTACACTGCCAACACTTGCTCTCTATCAGTAAGTTTAAGTGGGTAGACTGGAGCCTTTTGGGGTGGGCTGGAAGGTGGGGTGAGGTGTGGCTTAGCCCCTGTAAGTGCAGATTGCCTCCGCATTTCTGCAGAGCCTGGATTGCAACCAGGAGAGCATGGCAGACTGGCTCTCGCTTTCTTGTGTGGGCACCCCCCACCATGATTGGGGCATCCAGAGACCTCTCTGACCTTGGTTTCTCCCAGATCACTGGACTCAGCCTAGCCTCACCAATGGGCTCCATGATCCTGGGGGGGGGAGGTAGGGAGAGAAGTGGGATGACTTGAATGCCTGCCTGCCTTCCTCCCTTCCTTCCATGCCAGGAGCAGGAGAATGTGATACAGAGGGTCCTGCAGCTGCCAGTGGTGAGTGGCACCTGTGAATGTTTCCAGAAGACCTACACCAGCACCAAGGAAGCCCACCCCCTGGTGGCCTCGGTATGCAATGCCTACGAGAAGGGCATGCAGGGCGCCAGCAACTTGGCTGCCTGGAGCATGGAGCCCGTGGTCCGCAGGCTGTCCACCCAGTGTGAGTCCTGGTGGCACTTGGCTGGCTGCCTGCCTGTTCACTGATGCTCATTCCTGCTTGCCAGTGTGTCTAATCGGTTGATAACTTGCTTGTCTGCCTACCTATATGCCTGTCTATCTGACTGCCTATTCATCTGTCTGTGTCCCATTACATGGTCTTCTAAGGCATCTAGAGCTCAGCTGGCATTTTCCTAGGATGGCAATGATGGGCCAAAGAATTGGCAAAGGGAAGGGATGAGCAGAGATGTATGGGTGGGATCCCAGTGGGACTCTCCAGGCCATAACTTGTCTGAGCCAAATGCAGCAGCAGCATCAGGAACTAGCAGAGTCTAGTACAAAGGCAGGGACAGAAGAGCATTAGGGCTGGCCCGGCAAGGCTTGGAGGAGAGAGCGAGGAGAAGCCCTCTGGGCTCAGCAGCTGATGGTATCAGCTCGTGACAGGTGGGGGCAGCAGAGAGCTACAAGCAAGGACTGGAGGCAACTGTCCATGTGGGCCTTACCAGACCCGCCTCCACCCTCATTGCCCCATCCCCACCCCTGCCCCCTTGTTCTAATTGTTCTGCCCCATTTGAAAAATCTGGTCTCCAAGACTCGACAGGAGCCCTGGTGGTGCAGTGGTTAAGAGCTACAGCTGCTAACCCAAAGGTCGCCAGTTCGAATCCACTAGCCGCTCCTTGGAAATCCTATGGGACAGTTCTGTTCTGTCCTGTGGGGTCGCTATGAGTCAGAATCAACTCGACAGCAAGGGGTAAGGCTCTTGACAGAGCTGAGGGAAATTCCCATAGAACTGAGAAGTTTAGGACCTTCCACCGTCTTAATTACAGAATTATGGGTATCAGGATTCTGCACAGCAAACAGGAGAAGATAAATGTATAGAAGACCCAGGCCCTGGGCCAGCCTTCCTGCCTGCAAGCTCCTTAATTTCCCAGAGCCTCATTTTGTCCAACCAGAAGATGGCCAACTCATCTGTACTCTGTGCTGCTCAAAAAATTTTGTGAAGAAAAGTAAGATAGCTAGAGAAAGAATCTGTGATAGAACATGTATGTCCTCAGCAGCTCCTGGGCGGGATCCCTTGAAGCATTTGCATTCTCTGGTGCTTGCCCTGCTCCCTGGGGGCAACTCCTTTCCCTTCCCTGCCACCCTCGCCAAGCCCCATGCTCTCAACGCCTAGTGGTTAAAAGGAAAGGCCATGGACAGTCTGGGGCCTGGACAGGCTGTGGCTGGGAGTTTTTCACCTCTAGACCTAAGGCCCAGGCCTGGCCCCAAGAAGGCCCAACCCCAGGACCCTGCTGCCCCCACCTCCCACACTCAAAATTCCAATCTCCATCTCTCTGATGGTCACTCAGAGCCCTGGAGCCAGAGGGGAGGGAGGAGAAGGAGGGAGAGACCAGTATATGTTGGTGATTCACACAATTTCCATCACTTCCTCCTCACAAGCCTGCAAGGTAGGCATCAGTATCCATGTTACAACCTCAGACAAACTGTGACTTGCCAGAAGCCACACACCTACGATTTGGGCGCTAGGCTTTGAGTGCAGGTGTGACTGACTCCAGAGTTCCTACACAGATGGAAAAGACTGGCCCTGGTCTCGAGGAGTCACAGTGGATGGGGAATAAAGATGGCAAAGGGCCTCAGGTTCAAAGATGCTTTGGAGGCAGCAAGGCTGGGGGTTTTGAGGGCTGCAAGGCCCCTTCCGTGGCCCAGAGGGCACTGTGAGGTTCTCACAGTGGGGTGCAAGGCTCATCCCACCATGGCCCTTTGCTTCCAGTCATAGCTGCCAATGAGCTGGCCTGCCGAGGCCTGGACCACCTGGAGGAAAAGATCCCGGCCCTCCAGTACCCTCCTGAAAAGGTAAGCCCCTTTCTTCTACTCTCGCTCCCCCCCACTCTACTGTCACTGTCTCTTCTTCGGCCCAGCTCAGGGGAGGAGAGGGCAGGAACTGCTAATGCCATGACGGTGAGTCTTTCGTTTCCCTGGCAAACGTCCTTGAAGACTCGAGGAGGCTGCCTGCCCCCAAGGTCACAGGATGGGCTTCTTCCTCCCCCTGTGGAGCCAAATGAAGGCAAGGTTTCTGGGACCAGCAGGCACAACCCCAAAGGCAAACCCTAACAGGAGTTTGGGGTGGGTCTCACTGCCTCCTGAAACCTGTCCCTGAGATCTGGGGCTCTATGGGCTTGCACTGAACCACTGGGTGACTACACTCCCTGAGATCATGGGTCACATTTGTCAGGATCCCGGGATTTCCCATGTCCCCAAAATCCAACCTTTTATGGACCATAGACTGAGAATGTCACTTCAACTGGATACATATTTATTGAGTAGTTGCTATGGATATGGGCCCATGCTAGGTGTTTTTGGGGAATAAGTTTCAGTCCCTGCCCTCATCCATCTCACTGACTACCTACCCTCCCACAAGTATTCACTGAGCCCTGCCCTATGCCAGGTGCCATAACATGTGATTTATAGAATCTCTCATTTAATCCTCTTATCAACCCTCTGGGATGAGGGTGGTGATCCCCACTTCGAAGATGAGAAAACTAGTGACTGGCTGCAAAGCCTTAAGTGGAGGCCATGTGAAGAGTGCAGGTCTGCTTGGCTCTGAGGCCTGTGTTCTTCATTCCCATTTTTCCAGATGAAGGGCAATGTCTTTGTCACATAGGAGCTCCCAGACTAATAGGAGAGAAAGACAATACATTTTCTTAATGCAGAACTTTAGGAAGCTAAAATGCATCCATACCAAACAAAACTAAAACCGTTGGCAATGAGTCAATTCTGATTCATAGTGACCCTATAGGACAGAGTAGAACTGCCCCATAGGGCTTCCAAGGCTGTAAATCTTTACAGAAGCAAACTGCCTCACCTTTCTTCCACAGAGCAGCTGGTGGGTTCCAACTACCAACCTTTTGGTTAGCAGCCGAGCGCTTAACCACTGTGTCACAAGGGGTTCAACACATCCATAAATCAGTACAAATGCATATGGGCATGTAATCTGTGTTCTGAGGGAGGGACAGAGGACACGGTGCAGAAATTTGGAAGAGGAGATGCCTATGTGCATGAGGGTGTCAGGGTAGGCATCATCAAGGAAGTGGCCTTCGGGGCTATCCTCACAGGATGAATGAATGAGGCCTCCCTAGAAGCTGGGCTCAGGGCCCAAGACCCTGAGGAGTGGCCCTCCCAGGGCCTGCAAGACCCCTGTGCCTCTCCACCCTCCAGATTGCCTCTGAGCTGAAGGACACCATCTCCACCCGCCTTCGCAGTGCCAGGAACAGCATCAGTGTGCCCATCGCAAACACTTCAGACAAGGTCCTGGGAGCCGCTCTGGCTGGCTGTGAGCTTGCCTTGGGAGTGGCCAAAGACACAGCCGAATTTGCTGCCAACACTCGAGCTGGCCGGCTGGCCTCTGGAGGGGCTGACCTGGCCCTGAGCGGCATTGAAAAGATGGTAGAGTTCCTCCTCCCTTCAGCCAAGGAAGAGTCAGGTACCTACTGTTGGGGGTGGGACAGGGAGACCAACCCCAAGGGAGTGAGTTGGCCACCCAAACTGCCTGGGAATCAAGGAGGCAGCAAGGGCTTACCCAACCATGGCTCTGGGGTCTGGAATACGGAAGGCCCAGCAGGATTTTCAGATGGATCCATAATTATTTAGCCTCCTCCCCCAGTCTGTGAGTGGGGAAAATGAATTGCTCAATCACTAGTGAGTTAGTGGTGAGCTAGGACACTGCTGTCCAGCCCTGGATACAACCCAGATTTCCCCAGCCCCTCTCTGATCTGCCTCCCTTCTTTCCCCCAAACCCCTACCCAGGCCACGATCCTGGATGCCAGCAGGCCCAGAAGAAGCCTCCTAAGGGCAAGCCGAGCCTCTTGAGCAGGGTTGGGGCACTGGCCAACACGCTTTCTCGGCACACTTTCCAGACCACAGCCTGGGCGCTGAAGCAGGGCCACGATGTGGCCATGTGGATCCCAGGTGTAGCCCCCCTGGTGAGTATTGCCCCGGAGCTCTGACTGACTCAGCTCCTTCTCCTGCCCTAGGGACGTTCTGTCTGCCAACCTGGGCTGGGACTTTAGGTCTAAGGACAGGAGGCCTCAAGAAAGGGTAGAGGGCTTTTCCCCCAAGCCACAGGGGAAGAGAAAGGACAGGGCAAGAGCTCAGGGCAGGCTTACCTTGCTAGGATGGTAAGATACCCACGTCTGTCTCCCTCAGCAACCCCCCCACCTTCCATCCCCCCAAGTGGGCCTCTTGCTGTGGTCTCCCCACCTATGTGGAAGCAGAGACTCTCATCCGAGACTCATCTGCTGTCGCTCCTCCAGGCACTAAGGAATGCCACCCTTAAATAAATGAAGCAGAAAACCCATCATATCAGGGAGAGAGCCCCACCTGGGTCCGTGTCCCTGACTGCCTCCAGCTTCCTGGTTTCCCCTCTAGAGTCTTCTAAATTCCATCCCCACTGCATCCAAGGTAAAGCTGCCTTTTCTAGGCCCAAGCAAGGCTAACTCCCCGTACCTGCCCCCACCTTTCTGTGTATTTTAGCAGAGATAGGCTGGATTTCTTTCATAAGAAACTAAGTCCAAAAGGAAATAAAGACAACATAAAAATTCAGCAAACAAGACAGCCACTTTTCAGCCATCATTTGGATGATACTTATAAAACCATCATCAGGCCTGGATCATTCATTCAAGGATAGCTTGAGAACCTAGTATGTGCCAGGTGCTGTGGCTCCAGTAGGGAAACAGGACTAGTCGCTCCCCTCTGTTCTCTGCTCCTTTATGTGTGGCCAGCACCGAGGATCATTTATCAATGAGGGCCAAGACTAACCCCCATGCCCTGCTCCGTCCCGTAGTGGGTGGAGTCTGCTGTGTGACAACTTCAGGGGCCACCATTCACATAGCATGTAATGGTGGCCCATAAAGTTGTCTAACATGGAGGCCCTATTTGTGGAGCTACCTAGAGATTCTGAATGAGTCAAGCTGTGCCTCCAGGAACACCAGCCCACTTGCTCAGGTCAGTTTCCTCCCACGGGGACACTTGATTTTTTTCACCCTTTAAAGATCTGTGAGGAATATCTGCTAAAGCTAAACATACATATACACTGTGACCCAGCAATTCCACTCCTAGATATAAACTCAACAAAAACAAGCATTGTGTCCCCCAAAAAATAAGTAGAAAAATGCCCCTATCAGCTTTATCCTTAGCCAAGACCTAGAAACAGTGCAAATGTCCATTAACAGTAAAATGGATAAATTGTGACATAATCACACACTGGACTATTACATAGGAATGAAAAAGAAGGAACTGCTCCTATACACAACAGTGGATGAGTCTCACAACATAATATTAACAAAGGAAGCTATTCATGAAAAAATACATATTGTAGGATTCCATGTATAACCAAACCAAACCCACTGCCGTCGAGCTGATTCCAATTCATAGTGACCCTATGTATACAAAGTTCAAAAATACACAAAACTAATCCATGGCCATAGAGGTCAGAATGTGGTCACCATTGGGGGAGGGAGTACTGACTGGGTGGGGCACAGAGAGTCTCCTGGGTGTTGGAAATAGTCTGTATCTTGATCTGGGTGGTGGTTTCACAGGCGTATATTTGTAAAAAGTGATGGAGCTGTACACTAAAGATGTGTGCACTTTGGTGTATGTAAGTTCTCACTCAATGAAAAATTTAAGAAAAGTCAGCTGGGGCCTGGCTCTACTCCCCTCCACCGCAGGCCCTGGGGTGAGGGGCTTTGGCCTCTGGGGCTGCCTGCCTTCTGCAGGGGCTCTGAAGCCAGTGGCCCTTCCCGCCCTCAGAGCAGCCTGGCCCAGTGGGGGGCATCAGCGGCCATGCAGGTGGTGTCCCGGCAGCAGGGTGGGATGCAGGTGCCCTGGCTGCACACCGTCACTGCCACCCAGGAGGAGGCCCACGATGACCAGACGGACACAGAGAGGGAGGAGACACAGGAGGAGGAAGAGGAGGAGGAGGAGACCGAAGAGAAGCTCAGTGAGGTGAGAAAGGCAGCAGGAGCTGAGTGGAGGATGCGGGAGCCTAGAGGTCCCACAACCCACTGCGACCGGGGCGGGGGGGGAGGGAAGGTGAGAAGCAGAGGCACAGGGTGAAACAAGAATCTCTGCCCCAGACCCAAGGACAGGGTGCATGGGTGCAGCCCTTTCACCCCCCCAAGCATCTAGCTAACAAAGCACTTCATGTCATCCTCTCAGCTGACACACAACAGCACTGTGAGATGGGCTGGGCAGAAATTATTGTCCCCATTTTGCATATAAAGAAACTGAGGTTCAAAAAGGGAAAGTGACTTGCCCAAGGCCACATAGCTAGTGGCAGAGTCAGGTCTACAGAGATCCAGTTTTTTCAGTTTGAGGTCCACATTATTTCCCCTCCAGCTCTGGGGATGGTAATGGGGGCAGGGAGCCCAGGAGTTGCTGCAGGAGGTGCTGACCCTGCTCTGGCCCCCAGGTGGCAGCCCTACCCAGCCCAAAAGGCCTCCTGGGCAGTGTGGCACACACTATGCAGATGGCCCTCCAAAGCTCCATCTCGGCTGTGACCTGGGCACCTGCCACTGTGCTGGGCATGGCAGGGAGGCTGCTGCACCTCACGCCCACCCATGCTGTCTCCTCGACCAAGGGGAGGGCCATGTCCCTGTCGGATGCCCTGAAGGGCGTTACTGACAACGTGGTGGACACGGTGGTGCACTACGTGCCGGTGAGTCCCACTCTGGGCTAACCCTCCCTCTCCCCTTGGGACAGGATGGGGACAGATTAAGTAAATTTGACTGAAGGCACTGCAGGCCCCCTCCTTTGCTCAGCCCCCTTGGAGACCCTCCTATGATCCTCAGTGCCCCAGAAACACTCTGACTTGCTGTGGCCTTGACTTCATCAAGGCCCCTCCCAGCACCAAGTGTACAGAAGCTACGCCCAGGGCTGCTTCCTCCTCCCCCTCCCCACCTGCTGGTGAAGGAGTCTTCTGCTACCAGTCTGTGGGGCCTCAGTGTCCCAGCCCTCACTGGCTCCCCACTGAAGGACCAGGCAGGTTTGCGTGCTGCTTCCTGGGAAGGGGTTGGAGAGAGGCTTCCAGGGGGCCCTGAGGGGCGGGCCACAAGTCCCAGGGGACAGCAGCTGCCCCATCTCAATTCTATCCCCAACACAAAAACCCAAGGGATGCCAATACCATCTCTTAGGAAGCCCTTGGGCCCCTTCCCAGAGCAAGCCACAGGTCCTGCAGACTCTTGGAGGGCTGGGCAAGGCAGGAAACCCCCTTAGAGCTGGGGAGGGGGCCCTCAGTCACTCACTGTCACCAAGAGGCAAGCCAGGGGTCTTCGGCAGCCAGCCTGTTCACTTTGAGCAGAGGACCCCAAAACAGGTCCAGGCACGGGTACCCTGACCCTGGCCGTGGCAATGTGCCGGCCATGCTCAGCCTGTAACTCTGGCCCGAGGCAGGGGTCAGACAGAGCCACTGCCCCCATTAAATGTCTCTCTGAAGGAGACCCTAGGGATCCGGAAACTTTGGGAGGGATTTGGTTTGCTTTGTCTGAGGGGTCTGGCCCGTGGAGACCCTCAGAGCGCCCCCCATCCTGGAGGCCACTGTCTCACACCCCAGCCTGTGCCTGATCCTCGACAGGCCAATCATGAGAGAGATCACCGCGAAGGCCCCGGGGTGGGGGGGGAGGGGGTGCCGGGTCAGAGGCGGAGAAAGAGCGCCAAGTCGAGGGCCTAACGCCGGCGGCTGGGTCCTCAGCTCCCTAGGCTGTCGCTGATGGAGCCAGAGAGCGAATTCCGGGACATCGACAACCCACCGGCTGAAGCCGAGCGCCGGGGCTCCGGGGCCCCGGCCACTGGCCCAGAGCCCTCGCCGCGCCCAGCTCAGCACCAAAGCAGCCTGCGCAACACGCGTGGCGTGGGCTCGCCCGCCGGCCCGAGTCTGGACGACAAGCTCGTGACGCCCGCTGGGCCAAGCCCGGGCTTCCAGGCCGTACCCCGCGAGAAGCCCGTGCGCAGGGTCAGCGACAGCTTCTTCCGGCCCAGTGTCATGGAGCCCATGCTGGGCCGTGCGCAGTACAGCCAGCTGCGCAAGAAGAGCTGAGCCGGCGGCCCAACCTCCGCACTTCTTGGCAGGAGACCCAGTGTGACCACCACCCAGTGCGCCAGGGCCTTATCTCTCACAAATAAATAGAACCTCCATGTCCAAGTGAGCGTTGGCTTGTTCAAAGTAGGCCCCTCAGAACTCCGAGCTGCGTTCCATTGATGCTGCCGTGCACACACCTGTCTTTTTTAGCATCATTTTTGGCTTGGCTGTCGGGCCCATTTTTAAAGGGCACCAGAGCAGCATTCTCCTGATTCTATGGCTTGTTTTTTACTAAAAGAATAATTACCTAACTTGATTTCTCACATTAACCAAACTTGTGACCAAATAACATTTGTTTCCAAAATTTGGATCCATCCTCTGCAGACAAATATTTGCCACCAATAAGGATGAGGGTCCAAACCGGAGTTCTTGACCATTTTTAGCACTGCGTCCCAGAGGATGAGTATTTAGGCTGTTGGCAGACTACTACGAAGGAAACACCAGTCAGGTGCAAGAGCTCTTGTGTGTTTATTTAAAATAGTGTCAGTTTCTAAGAATCCTTCACAGGCTGAGTCCCAGGCCCATGCTCTGTAGAACCACCTCCTTGCTTGCAGCCACACTTCCATTTGCATCCTTACTACCTTCCAACTGCATCTTCACCCTTCTATCTGCCTTTTGAATGCTGGCATCCCCAGATGCTGTGGGATGACAATGGTGTCCTCTCACCCTATACTATATAGACTATATATAGATTTTGTAGCCACAGTTCATTCCAAGCCCTGTTTTAAACAAATGTTGTTGTTAGTTGTCCTAAGTCAGCCCCCAACTCATAGCAATCCCATGCACAATGAGATTGGACTGTTACGATCCATAGGGTTTTCACTGGCTGATTTTCAGAACTAGATCACCAAGCCTTTCTTTCTAGTCTTTCTTAGTGTGGAAGGTCCACTGACAGACAGATGGTGGTTGTGCATGAGGTGTATTGGCCGGAAATCAAACCCAGGTCTCCCACATGAAGGTGTGAATTCTACCACTGAACCACCACTGCCCCCTCCCACCCAAAATGTTAATACTTGTTAAACCTAGGAAATATGTAGACTAAAAATTCAAACATTGCAAAAGGGTGTATATCTTCCTCCCTGAGTTTCCCAGCTCCCCACACCCGCCCAACACACACACAAAGAAACAAACGTAGAATCAGTATCTTGTGTATCCCTCCAGATATAGGCTATGCATGTACAAGCACATACATTTTTATTTACACAAGCTGTAGGATGTTACACTCACCTGCTTTTTTCACTAATACATCTTAGAGATCTTTTTCTATCAGTTCAGATAAATCTTCCTTGTTCTTTTTAATGGTCACATGTGAAATACTTCATAATACGAATAAAGGACTTAACTGATTTAGCCAGTTCCCTAATGATGAACTTTTGGGTTGTTTCCAATTTTTGCTACTGCAAACAGTGCTACAATAAATGTCCTTATGAAACATGTCTTTATGTACATCTGTCCGATAAGTTTGTAACTTGTAACCGTGACATGCTGAGTGAAAGACTATGTGCATTTTAAATACTGATGATGCTAAGCAGCCTTCTAAACCAATTTCTATTGTATCATTATTTCTATCTGCAGCTGCAGAAATGTGCTTAATAATGATAACACCACTCTAGGTCCTTTTGTTGGTGGTGTTGTTAGTTGTCATGGAGTCGATTCTGACTCATGGCGACCCCATGTGTTACAGAGTAGAACTACTCCATAGGGTTTTCTTGGCTATAATCTTTTTTTATTTTTTTTAGCTTTTAGATCAGATCTTCATTATAACCATTGCTTCTGTTTTAAATAAGAAAAAAATAACTTAGTTCCGGGTCCTGAGCATGAGTCTGTGGACAAAATCAATTCCTGACGACTCTAATACATAGTAACCAAAAACCAAACCCATCGTAGGCCCCCAAATATGCTCATTGAATGAATGAATGAATGTGAATCCATGTTGCAATCAACTTAAAAAAAAATACTTCTGGAGACTTCTTCACACATCTTTAGATAAATTAGAAATGCCAGTGGAAATGTTTGCACATGGAAAATAAGCAGATTTATCCATCCTGCCATGTATGAGCAAAGTGGTTAATAGACCAAATTGATCCAAATGTACAATTAGATTTAAGACTATATGGTATAATGTAAAATATTTTCTGCTTTTAACTGCAGTTTGTTCACTACGACTCGAATTGACGGAGGTTGTATCTATCCAATGCCAACTATCAGAACATCTTTAAATATTTCTATTTTTTTTCCTAAATTTTATTTTGTTTTGTTGAGAATATACACAGCAAAACACACCAATTCAACTGTTTCTACATGTACAATTTAGTGACACTGGTTATATTCTTCGAGTTGTGTAACCATTCTCACCTTCTTTTCTGAGTTGTTCTTCCCTCATTAACATGAACTCACTGCCCCCTAAGGTTCCTATCTAATCTTTAGAGTTGCTTTGTCAATTTGATCCCATATAGATAGTTCTTCAAAGAGCACAATGCTCAAGGCAGACCCTTTTTACTAGTTAAGCTAAATGGTTGTTTGGTTTTAAGATGACTTCAGGGGATATATTTTTTCTTTTTTTTTTTAAATTTCTCATTCAAAAATGTATACACATATTGTTTCATAACATTGGTTGCAATCCCCACAATGTGACAGCACACTCCCCCTTTCCACCCTGGGTTCCCTGTGTCCATTCATTCAGTTCTTGTCCCTTCCTGCCTTCTCATCCTGCTTTTGGACAGGAGCTGCCCATTTGGTCTCTTATATTTGATTGAACTAATAAGCATGTTCCTCACATATATTATTTTTTGTTTTATAGGCCTGTCTAATCTTTGTCTGAAGAGTGGGCTTTGTGAATAGTTTCAGTTCTTGGTTAACAGAGCGTCTGGGGGCCATAGTTTTGGGGGTTCCTCCAGTCTCTGTCAGACTATTAAGTCTAGTCTTTTTACATGAATTTGAATTCTATTCTACATTTTTCTCTGCTCTGTCCAGGACTCTCTGTTGTGTTTCCTGTCAGAGCTCAGGGGATATTTTTGATTTAAGGTGTAGAGATTATCTCAGGGCAATAGTTTCAGGGGTTCATCCACTCTCCATGGCTCCAGAAAGTCTAAAGTCTATGAGAATTTGAAATTCTGTTCTGCATTTTCCCCTTTTGATCAGGATTCTTCTATGGAATCTTTGATCAAAATGTTCACTAATGGTAGCCAGGCACCATCCAGTTCTTCATGGCAAAGAAAGCAGTTGCTCATGGAACCTTGGCTGTAATCTTAACAGAAGCAGATCTCTAGGCCTTTTCTTCTTCAGTACATCCATATATACACTTACCTCAATAAGCCCCCCTTAAACCCATGAGCACACTCCTGGCTGCCCGCCCCCCCACCGCCACCCCCACCCCCTCCATTGCTCACCTGAGAGGGAGCTCCCTGAAGCTGACTCTGGGGCCCTGGCAGATTTTTAATGTAATGAGTTACAGACCTTGACCCCATGGTTTCGGAGTCTGAGGATACCCAGGATAGGGAGGGGGAGTGGCTGGTGGACATACACATGTAGACATGGCCAGGGCCCTGAGCTAGGCCTTGGGCCTCCCATCCCACTCCCGTGACGCACGTTACGCTCAGCATTTCAAGGGAGGGAGGGGATCTGTGAGAGGGGCCTTTAGAAGTTGCTATGACAGGAGTCCCTGAGTGGCACAAATGGTTAAGTGCTCGACTACTAGCCGAAAGGTTGGTGGTTCAAACCCATCCAGAGGTGCTTCAGAAGACAGGCCTAGCGATCTGCTTCTGAAAGGTCACAGCCTTGAAAACCCCATGAAGCAGTTCTACTCTGCACACATGGGGTTGCCATGAGTTGGAATCAACTTGACAGCAACTTACAATACAACATGACCGGGATGAGAAGGCAGAACCCAGTCTAGCCCTGGCAGGGCCCCTCTGGGCAGCTGCTGGAGAAGTGACCTCAGGCCTGGATGTGCAGAAACGCCCAGCTGTCCTGAGCCTCACCCAGCCCACACTGCTTTCCTCCCAGGGCTCCAGAAACCACACCCCTGGCTGTCCTCTCCTCCATTGTGTCCTGTGGCTTTTCTTGCTAGGCCATATGCCAGCAGACAGAGAAGCTGCCCTCTCAGCAGCCCGGGGGATCCAGGGACTCGACAAGGCTGTAGCAAACACACCCACTAGCCTGGCCCAGATGCCTCGCTGTGCCTTGGACCTTAGCCAGGGTGCTAGGGGCCAGTACATGGACTAGGACAGCCCAGTAAACAAGCAATTTAAGTTGTGCAAGTGTCTTTTATGACTAAAAACCCCTTGATTAAGTAGCAAGGTGCTCTGAGCCTGGTCTCAGTATTTCTGAACACTTCTTAGCCAGAAATGAGAGCAAAGCAACTCCTCTAAATGGCAAATGTTTGCATCCTTGGCTCTAGGCTGGATGTGGGACTTTGTTCTGGGAGGCATCACTCTGGGGAGCCTTTTTGGTCATGTGGATGTGAAGGCATGTCCACACTCAGTGTCATGGATTGAATTATGTCCCCCCAAATATCTGTCAACTTGGCTGGGTCACGATTCCCAGTACTGTATGATTGTGTAATCTGATGTGAGTTCCTTATGTGTTGTAAACTCTATCACTGTGATTAGGTTATACTGATGAGGTCTACAAGATTGGGTAGTGTCTAAGCCAACCTCTTTTGAGATCTAAAAGAGAGAAGCAAGCAGAGACACAGGGGAACCTCCTACCACCAAGAAAGCAGTGCCGGGAGCAGAGTGTGTCCTTTGGACCTGAGGTTCCTGTGCAGAGAAGCTCCCAGACCAAGGGAAGATTGATGACACGGACCTTCCTCCAGAGCCGACAAAGAAAGCATTCCCCTGGAGCTGACTCTCTGAATTTGCACTTGTAGCCTACTGGACTGTGAGAGAATAAACTTCTCTTTGTTAAAGGCATCCACTTGTGGTATTTCTGTTAGAGCAGCACTAGATCGCTAAGAC